CTCTCTCTCTCTCTCTCTCTCTCTCTCTCTCTCTCTCTCTCTCTCTCTCTCTCTCTCTCTCTCTCTTATCTTTTTTCTCACTCCCAATAACCCTCCCCTCATTTCCTCCCTCATCTCCTTTAATAATTCTTTCATATTCCCATCCCCCCTTTTCTCCCGGAGATCTTACCATCTTCTTACTACTCCTAAACACATCCTCTACCTTCCCCTCTCCCTCCTTTCCACCCTCTCTTTCTCTCTTCCTTTTCATAAACTTCTCTATATCCTCCATGCTTCCCCTCCTCTCTCTCTCTATCTTACTAATCCTATCCGCCATCCCCTTCACCTAGAGACCCTTTAATAGAGACTGGACAATCTTTGGTTTGTAACAAAATGACGACGATATACAGGGTGGCTCATTAAGCTCATTTTACTTTCCCAGGCGAACTTTCTGAGACACTGTATACAAACTCTGTATGCAGCATTTAAACGTGATTTTTATTTAGCAGAATATTAATGTTTGAAGCTGATATAAAGAGGTGAAATATATATTATGCTTTCAGTTTATCGAAATAAAGTTCAGAAATTAAAGGCAAATATGTAGTTCACTATAAAATGGCATTCTAACCTTTTTTCAAATATTAATTTAATGAAGAATAGGGTAAATGTTAAGAAGACCCTCTCCACCTCAGATAAGAAGTAGTGAATTTTGTTTTCAAAGTAGTGAATTTGTTTCTAAAGCAGAGGATTTTGTGGCTGTAACAGATTTCCTAACCTAGTTGTTAACTTTAACGCTTAATATCTCGGATCGTGAGGCAGAGCGACACTTTTTTCGACACCAGAAACGCATCGATTGAGTATATTTTTATCAAAATTTGAGATGGAGGGGGTCTTCTTCAACATTTACCAAGAATAGAATAGAATTTATTCACTTCAGCTAATATATAATTTAATGTTATAATAATGATTTAAATTTTACACATAACAAAATGCCTGGTTGTTGTGTCCCTGGCTGTTTCAATAGCAATAAGAAAGGTTTTTCCTTAAGGCGGTTTCCTGCAAATTTAGAACGGCAAACATTATAGCTGGAAAAGATAGGCAAAAAAAATTGGCAACCTTCTCAATGTTCTTATATTTGTGAAGTAAGTGTAAATGTCTAAATATATTAATCTATATTAATGTATTAATTGATTAAATAAAATTATAGATATTTGTATATTGGATCCAAAGTATTGAAAAAGTATGTTGTATTATACATTCATAAAATCAAAAGTACCTCGAGTATTCAACCATAACAATTATATTACAATGTTATTTTTAGATTCACTTTTGAAAGGACATGTGGGAAAAGCCTAGAGTTGATGGAAAACAAAAATTAAAATGTAATGCTGTACCAACAATTTTTCCAACTCAAAACATATGTATCTTGAAAAATTAAGATGCTAAGAAAATTGTTTATTGTAATGTATATTTATTTGTTTCTAAAGATATTTTGAATATAATCTAACAGAATAATTATTTTATGATATGCAGATGAATCATTGTCAAGAGCTTAGTGAGACTGTCTCTAATATACATCCATCAAATGAGACTTCCACGTCTGTTTCAAAATCTCATCCTTTGAAAAAATATGCAGACACTTCACACGATTTGGAGAAAAATGTTGTTAAGGAATTACAAACTATTACAAACATTCATGAGACTACTTCGATGAATATCTTTAAAAAATCGATGTCTAACTCAAATAATCAATCAATGAATATTAATTTACAATCTATTATTAATAATAACGAATACAATTTGGAAGACACTCAACTGACTGAATTGAATATTGAAAATCGAACTGATATCATTGCAACAATACCAAACTCAGATGCTAATCAATCAGAATTACAATCTGCATTATTGAAAATAAAAGCTTTAGAAACAAAGCCTAACAAAGCCAACACGATCATTTGCAAAGGCGGAAAAGCAAAGAAACATCTACTCCAGCGTATAAGAAAATTGAAGAGCTCAAAAGATTATACCTTGAAAAAAATTTGTTAAAATCATAAAAGATACTAAATAAAGTTTTTAATAAAGATCAAATTGAAGGGCTTCAAAGATATACTTCCAAACGTAAAGTATATAGACGGTCTAAAGAAACAATCAAGAAAGCGCTACGAATAAAATTTTCTTGTACTGAAAACGGCTACAAAGAACTTATAAAGCAAAATATTCCATTACCAATACAATAATTAAACGGCTTCATCCACGTACACAAACTGAGTTTAGTGCAGGCTCATACATTAATCCATATTTATTATAATTTATAATATAACCAAACGTTTCGGTCTGTCATCAGACCATTCTCAATAGTGTTACATACAATTGTTAAAAATTTCCCAATAAATTTGAATTTTTACAAACCGAAATCATTCTAGATGTCATTATACATATCGCTGTCCAATAATTAAAATATAATTTTCGAAGTATCATGACATTCGTCAACTGCATAAAACCATGGAAAACATAGTATGTGTGTGTGTGTCCTATCGGTTAAAATAATTTTCATCCTCAGCACTCCATGAAAACAAGTCTGCTCTAACCATTAAAAAATTATTAATTCAAAATTACATTTACTTTTATATTCTATTTTAAATTAATATTATATAACTACTTACATTATAAGTGAGATTAACAATTATATTATCCTTAGTAATAATCTTTTTTCATCCCAATAATCCTCGACGCACCATTACCTGATACTGACAAAATAATAATTTATTTTTATTAATTTGAATAACTCACTTAATAAGTTTCTCGCAGTACCTCCTAGCATTCTTTATATTAACTGTTATCAGCGTTGAAAGAACAAAGGAAAGAAAAATATGTCTTTGCTAAATTGTGCAGTATATTCAGTGATACGTTTTAATAATTCTACGCAGGTATTACAAAGTTTTTTGAATTTATTAAGTGAGTTATTCAAATTAATAAAAATAAATTATTATTTTGTCAGTATCAGGTAATGGTGCATCGAGGATTATTGGGATGAAAAAAGATTATTACTAAGGCTAATATAAAATTTCAAAAAATGAGCGTATGCCACACACTGGATTTTATTAGTGAAATATATTTTGCAAGATATGTTATGTACGCAATTTTTAATAAGATGTTTGGTGTACAATTACGATACTAACACTCTTATTACAATGTATAAACGTTTCGGCCTTTAATTTGGCCATCTTCAGTATAAATTTATGTTTTTCGAGTATAAAATTATCTATTTTGTTACAATTATCAGTCATGTTACATACATATTTAGATAAATAAAAAATTTTTAATTTGTCAATTTTATATATAATATTTTTTAACTTTAACATAATTTAATTATTCAAATATTAATAACTAGAATTACATATTTTTTAACTTTAACATAATATAATTGTTTGAATATTAATAAGTCAATTAGAATTACAATTTTTAATCATTACACTATACAAATGTGGTCAACATTTTTATACAGGGTGGCCCGTTTTAATCGCCGCACCCGAATTTCTCGGAACGTAAGCCCGATAGGGAAAAACGGTTCAGACAAAAGTTGTCCAGATCGAAGGGGGCCATCTGTCTGTGCAATTAGTTTTGACCTTGAACTTAACTTTGAAGGTCATTTGAAGGTCAATATGATTTTGTTAAATGGGAACCCCAATTTTTGACACCGGATTCGGAAAGAGCGGAAAATTTTACTTCGGAAACGGTATTTGGAAATTTTTTTTATGACCCTTAGAAGGTCATTTCAAGGTCAAATGTTAAAACATCCTGTGGTTGTTATTTGATTGCATTTTCTAATACATAGAATAATTGTCGTTAATGTACTTTTATGAGGAATATTCAACCCCAATGTGACAACGACCTTGAAAATATTGACCTTCAAAAGGTTGTTCTTACTTTTAACGTTACCCAGAAACAACGACGTGGACGTAGTAAGTTCTGTTTCTTTTGGGGTGCTTTTTTACCGTGAGTCCCCTTGCCTCTCACTGCTCGAGGTGCTTGATTATGAGTGAGTCTCCTTGCCTCTCACTGTTCGGGGTGCTTGATTATTAGTGAGTCCCCTTACCTCTCACTG